TGAGACAGGCAGGAAGGGCAAAGATGCAAAATGGGCTGGCCCCAAGCCTACCTGTGGCAGATGAAAATTGGGAGGGATACCTTTGCTGCAGACAACCCCCAACATCCAGGAGCAAAGGACCCCAGTCCCACTCCAGATTCCCCAGCCAGGAGTACTGGTGCTGAGAACAGAAGCCCCCACAACATCAGGCTGTGAAAAACAGTGGAGATTCTGACCATCCAGGTGAGACAGAAGGCTGCGGGAAACCCAGATGCCCTCTTCAAGGGCCCATGCTGGCACTCACTTGCGCGCAGGCACTCACCTTGGGCTCCGGCAGACGGCAGCGACTCAGGGAATGAAAGAGGCATACAGGGAACAAACTGAAGTTATGGCTTTGAAGCCAGGCCTGGAGGACACTGCCATTTTCCCTGTGAGAAGTTTTCTTCCTGTGCGGCTGGAAAGCAGCCTCCATCTTTAATGTGTTGAGCCCTCCCCCTAAGCTTATGGCTAAATCTTAATCTGATTGGTCTGGTGAGCTCCGAGGCTCAACCCAGCTGACTCACTGGGATCCCCGTCCCACCCAACTTCCCCAACATTAGAGACACTTTCTTGGGAAGCAGCAAGCCCCACCAGCATTTCATTCTTTATTGGAAAACTGTCAGGGTCCATGGGCTCTAGGTGAGTGGCAACTGGCCTCGGTGTGCTCTGAGACTTTTGCTGAGTAGCTCCAGGCTCAGCACTGGCACCAAACTGGGGTCTACATTAACATGGTCACCACAAAGCTTCCCACTGTAGGGACTCCCTGAGACCCTGTTTCACTCAACTTGCATACCACACAAGTATGGTTGAACGTTAAGAAAGCCAGCAGGTATCAGCCAGCCTTGGGGTGTCCTGGTTTTTTGTGGAGCTACCCAGGCCTGGTACTAGTGGCAGATGTCCTCAGTTTGCAGTGTGGCCTCTCTCATGTGTCTCCAGGTTTAGCACAGGCAATGAAAAACCATAGATCACGTTGTAGATCCAACCAGGTAGTCCCCAGCTATCACAGGACCCCTCCCAAGAGGCCCCAGAACCAACATACCTGGAGGTTGCCTTCAGACCGCAGCAGAGCACCACCCAATTAAACCCACAAGCAGCACACACAAATGGTGGTCTAAACAGGCACCAGAGCCTGCTAGGAAGAATCCTACTCAGTGGGGTAAGCTCCACACACAGCAGCCTGTAAGTTGTAGATGTGGCCAAACCCCATAGCCAGTCAGCCTGAGGGTCAATCCCACCCACGGATGTGCCAACAGCAATCAAGGCTCAACTATTAACAGAAGGGCACACACAACCCACACAAGAGATACTCCTGGAGCACCTGGCTAGGAAGACTGTGCCAGGGCCCCACAGGGCACCGACTACATAAGGCCACCTGGCCAAGACTGGAAAACATAGCAGACCTACTCCATACAGAGAAACAAACACAGGGAGGCAGTCAAAATGAGACAATAAAGAAATACATCCTAAATAAGAGAATAGGAGAAAACTCCAAAAAAAGAACTAAATGAAATGGAGGAAAGGAACCTACCAGAGATAGAGTTAGAGTTCAAAACAATGGTTATAAAAATGCTCAAGGAACTTAGGGAGAACTTCAACAACAAAATAGCAAGCATAAAAAAGAACATAGAAACCATAAAAAATAACCAGTTAGAAGTGAAGAATACAATAACTGAATTGAAGAATGCACTAGAAGGCATCACCAGAGGCCAAATGAACCAGAGGATCAAGTCAGCGATTTGGAAGACAAGGTAGCACAAAACACTCCATCAGAACACCAAAATGAAAAAATAAAAAAAATAAATGAGGATAGCTTAAGGGGCTTTTGGGACAATATCAAGTGTAACAACATCCACATCATAGGGGTACCTGAAGGAGGAGAGAGACAGCAAGTGATTGAGAACCTACTTGAAGAACTAATGACTGAAAACTTCCCTAACCTTGCAAAGGAAACAGACATACAAGCCCAGAAGAAGGTCCCAAACAAGATGAACCCAAACAGGCCGACACCAAGATGCATTATAATTAGAATGGCAAAGGTTGAAAACAAAGAGGGAATCCTAAAAGCAGCAAGAGAAAGACAACTCATTACTTATAAGGGAGCGCCCATAAGATTGTCAGATGATTTCTCAACAGAAAATTTGCAGGCCAGAAGGGATTGGCACAAAATATTCAAAGTGATGAAAAGCCAGGACCTACAACCAAGGATACTCTACCCAGCAAGGCTATCATTTAAAATCAGAGGACAAGATAAAGTGCTTCCCAGACAAGAAAAAGCTAAAGGAGTTCATCACCACCAAATCAGTATCAAAAGAAATGTTAAAGGTACTTCTTTAAGAAGAAAATAATTTTTTTAATATGAATAAAATGGCAATAGCTACATATCTATCAAAAATTACTTTCAATGTAAATGGATTAAAGGCTCCAATCAAAAGACACAAGAGGGCTGAATGGATTAGAGAACAAAGCCCTTATATATGGTGCCTATAAGAGAATCACTCCAGATGTAAAGACATACACACAGATAAAAAGTAAAGGGTGAAAAAAGATACTTCATGAAAATGGGGGGGAAAAAAGATGGAGTAGCCATATTTATATCAGACAAAATAGACTTTAAAACAAAGGCTATACTAAGAGACAAAAAAGGACCCTAGAAGTGGGATCACTTCTAGGTATTTATCCAAAGACACCCAAACGCTACTTTGAGTGAGCGTGTGCACCCATGTGTTCATTGCGGCGTTGTTTACAATGACCAAAATGTGGAGGCGGCCTGGGGGTCTGTCAGTGGAAGAATAGTTAAAGAGGAGGTGGTACATATACACAATGGAATATTGCTCAGCCATGGAAGGGAATGGGTTCTTGCCATCTGTGGTGGCATGGATGGACCTGGAGGATTTTGTGCTGAGTGGAGTGGAAGATAGAAGAAGACAGATGCAATGTGATTTCACTTATATGTGGAATCTAAAGAACAAAATAAACAAACAAAAACAGAAACAAACTCATAGATACAGGGAACATTTTGATAATTGCCAGATGGGAGGGGGGTTGGGAGTGTGGGTAAAGAAAGGGGAAGGGATTAAGAAGTACAAATTGGTTGTTACAAAGTAGTCATAGGGATGTAGGGTATAGCATAAGGAATATAGTTAATAGTATTGTAATAACGATGTATAGTGTCAGACGGGTACTAGATTTGTTGGGGTGATACATGGGAAGGGGTTGGGGGGACTAGGTGAAAAGGTGAAGGGAGGGCCGGCCGAGTGGCGCGATGGTTAAGAACTCGCTTGGGATGCCAGAGGGCCCCGGTTCGGATCCCACATATGAGGGCCAGTGACACTGCCCTCCANGCATGGTGACCGTAGTTAACAATACTGTTTTGTATATTTGAAAGTTGCTAAGAGAGTAAATCTTAAAAGTCCTCACCACACACACACACACACACACACACACACACACACACACACAAAGGTAATCATGTGAGATGATGGAGGTGTTAACTAACCTTATCTTGTTAATCATTTTGCAATAGATGTATTTCAAATCATCATGTTGTACGCCTTAAGCTTACACCATGTTATATGTCAATTATATCTCAATAAAACTTGAAAAAAGATTAAAAAATTAAGATACTGGTCATTCCTTCCTCAGGGCCAGCCCTTGGCGTGGAATAGAGATTTCCAAATGTGTCAGGGGGACTGGTTTAACAGGCGATTGGGGATGAGCTGGGATTTCCCTTCCCCCTCAATACCTTGTTCTCATCCATGACAGTGTTCAGAGACTCAATCCACATTGGATCGATATCACCATCCAGTAAAATCCACTTGGGCCCATCATGGGTGATATTGGCAAGCTCCCGCATGATGGAAGAGAACAATCCTAAAAGGAACCACATGATATCTTATTGTCCTTTCACCATTCATCTTTCTCTTAACATAGCCTTTCCCTGTTGGCTACAATACTCAAAGGAACTGTAAATAATTAAAGGCAGGTAAGAATTGGCTTGGTATCCTACTCTACCAAACATGTGACAGTGCCCAAGGTGCCACTCTGTGCTCCAGTCTGACTTTTTGTAAGAACAACAACAGCAAAATCAACAACAAAACCTGATAGAACTAGCTTTTTAAGTGACAAAGAACCCCAGTGAATCATTTCAACAGCAACTGTGACATGATGGAATTACATAAAACCTTGTTAGGTAAAGTTTCCATCCTTTGTAATCACAGCCTGGGCAAATCTTGTCAAATGCCGGCTTTGAGAGAAGGCCCAGTGTGATTCTAATAGGCACTACATGAAATTTATATCTTTTTGTCGACAGAATTGATTTTTATGATACTAAGCTTTCTCAAACAATAATATGGCATGTCTTTTCATTTATTCAAATATTGTTTTATGTTCCTTAATACATTTTATAGCATTTTAAACATATCTCTTTGGCCAAATCTATTCCTAAACCTATCATACTTTTTATTGCTCTTATGAACAGCATTTTTTTCCTTGAACTTCCATTTTTAGCTGGCTACTGCTGGTATAGAGAAAAGCTACCACATTTTATGTATTTATTTTATTTTTAGTTACCTTTAGTAAATTTTCTTAATTGTAGTGATTTTTCAAAAATGCCTCTTGAATTTTCTAGGTATAAAGTTGTATAACCGTCAAACAACAAATTTTCTCCTTTCCTCCAATTTATACATGCATCCCATTTTTTTGTCTACTGTATTTTCTAGAATCCCACCAAGCAATGTAGAATAATGATGTTGATAATAGTTCTCTCTGGCTTATTCTTGATTTTAAGGGAAATGGCTTTAATTTCTCATCCTTCAGAATGCTTTCTTTTTCCTTTTGGCTTTGGACAAATAATACCATGTTTAAGAGGTTTCCTTGTATTCCTATTTTACTTAAAATTTTAAAAATGAGGCATACTGAATTTTTAGCATCCATTGATCGATCAAATAATTTACTCTTTGAATTTGTAAATTCTTCATGTTAATACTTCAAAAATAAATTGAATCTATCCTGACATTCCTGGAGTAGATTCTACTTAGTTAAAGTATATTATTCTTTTGAGATATTGTTGGATTTTATTTACTGACATTTTATTCAGAATTTCAGAATCTACATTAATAAGTGAAATTGGGCTATTGTTTTTGGTTCTACATAAAGGTTGATATCAAGATTTTTCTGGCTCTGGTGGGAAAGACCTAAAATGGTGAAGTAGATAAACACTGTGCCTGTTTCCTTCTGTGAACACATTAAAATTTACAACTAAATTACAGAACCATCAACCTGGAGAACCATCTGAAACCTGGCTGAACAAAAGTTTTATAACTATGGATATAAAGAAGAAGCCATGGGCTGGCTGAGTGGCTCAGTTGGTTAAGAGCTCGCTCAAGAATTTGAGCTCTGAGCAACAGTGGTTCGAGTCCAGCCCAAGCTGAGCAGCCGCTGAGCTGCCAATAGGTAGCAGGATGGCTCAGCTAAAAAAAAAAAAATTTAAATAAATAAATAAATAAATAAATAAATAAATAAAGTAGTCCCTCTGGGAGAGCATACATTTATTGTGATGAATCTGTA